TATACTATAATTATTAATATTAAGAAAGTAAAAACGACCGCTACGATTTAAATCAATAGAGAGGATAAATTCTATAATAAAAATGCTATAATTATTAATTAATGTTAATTTTATGATGTTAAACTTTCTTTTAATTTATTTTATCTCTCGACGGATTTTTTATGTAACGGGATTATTATGATAATGTATTACAGTTAATTAGAGGGATTTATTTTATTGATTGAAAAAGTCTCTGTAAAGCACGAAACGTCCCAGTTATTTTGACGGAATATTAAACTATATTATTTAGAATCATGTTGTTCGGTTATTGGCTCTTGTTTTATCTAAGACATACGAGCTTTATCTACTTATATATTTTTTAATTTATACATATTAAAATTATTGCAATGTTAAAAAAAAACAAATTTTTTACATTATCTCATGACGAAAGAGACCATCACCTTCTCGCGGTTTCCGTTGAGCAACAATATCTACGTATACGTAATCTATTCGTAAAAGTGAAATACACATAACTGTTGTGATTGCAAAAATTTGTCCTTTAATTTTACTATATGTATTTTATAAGACATAGTAACTTGTGCCAATGTCAAATAATTAATGAAATAAAATTTCTTAAAGTTTCCATGTGCGTAATCTATCGAGCCGGTAGAAGCAATTTTCTAATATAGTAAACGTGGACGAGCGAGTAAGACGATCGGCTAGAATGATGAAGTTCTCAAGTTCGAATCCTGGTTTTTTTCTAACTTTTTTTGCATTTTTATTTTTTTAGGCAAATGAGTTTTTATGTAATACATATATAAACAAGGAAAATTATTTGACAATCATTAAAATTATTCGCATATTTTCTAACAACTTTAGGAAAGTTAACGATTTGCTCATAAGAAAATAAAAAATTATTTTTAAATTACAAAATAAGTTTTCTTTATTATTGTATAATAACAATAGTATTGTTCATTAATCCTCGGTCTCGGCTTCATATAAAATATATATATATATATATATATATATCAATAAATATCATAAGTAATTAATAAGTGCGACAAGACCTAGGTGCGCGCGCGCGCGCGAGCGCCGAGATGTTAACAAGAAGCCTAGCACGATTCTCGCCGGCTCGGCTGACCGAGCATCGAGCATCTGACATCACCGCTGAAATCTGGCATCACTGCAAAATTAGTCCGGATTCGCATCAGGGGCAAAGTCTGTAGGTAAAATCGGGTATATTTAGTCCAGACTCGCACCAGGGGCAAAGTCTGTAATGTGATTTAGTCCGGACTCAATCCTAGGGGCAAAGTCTGTCGGTAATCAAAGCACGGAAATGCTGGTCTCGACTTTTGAGGAGCCATTGGCTATCTGTCTATTAATCTGTGGCATAAGCATAAGAAAATTGATTGGTCTATTTCCTTATGCACATGCTCCCCGCTTTAAGCTAACCGTGGTTGGTGAAATTGGCCCTTAGGGCCAAAGCACATTTGACATTGTATGACAGTCGTAGTCGTGGACGTAAGTAACGCACAAACTTTGGCGTATCTTGATTTGTCAGGTCGAGGACTACGACCGTCGTATATCGCTACGCCCTTGAGGGTCTCTAGCTACGCCATGTTATGTGCTTTGGCCCTTCCTTGTAACTAGAGTGAATTTTGGAACGCAGTATACATATACTGGTTACACTGTGGTGGTGGAATTTTGGAACGCCCTGGAAACATCAAATGTTTACTGTCACTAGATGTCAGTATTAAGAGACGATTATAATTCCTCTGTCGACGTAATTTCGTACTAAGCAGTATTGCAATTGGCAACGAGTCAAGCACGAGCGAGAGAAGTGATCAAAAAATGGCATCCGTGCCGACGTCGCACAATGAGGTTTCCCAGGAATTTTCTGTCAACAAACTCATCCGTGTCGGTTATTACGAATTGGAAAAAACTATTGGTAAAGGAAATTTTGCCGTAGTTAAAATGGCCACTCACGTCGTAACAAAATCCAAGGTAAAAGACGCCGTAAAAACTTTTAGTCACAAACATGAAACCCGTCATTTTGTCGTTAATATCTTCTGAATATCTGTGTGAATACTTCTTTAGTTTTATATTTTTAGGATTTAATTATAACATGATTGTTTTAATACAGTTATGTTTTATGGCTATATTTAACAAGTTAATATTTTAAAAAGTATATTTATCATTGTTCAAAAAAATACATTGTTGCCTTATTTGAAGTACCTATGTAATTCATATGTATAAATTTCATAAATCTTGTTATTTATATTTGCACATTAGACATTTTGAGCAAACATGCAACAGCAATATATCAGTAGCAGAAATATTTCTTGGAATTTTAAAATTGGTTTATAGCTAGCTTGATTTTAAATTTGTATATCCAAATTTATATCCTTTTAATTAAAATGTGGCGTTAATGAGAAAAAGAAAGAAAAAAGAAATAGTGACTACACACATACATTTGTGTACATACAGATGCATATTCACACATATAAATACACTAGTGAGGTTATATGTTTATTACATTTTCTGAGTTAATTGTATATATTGGAAAGTATATATATATATATATATATATATATATAAAATTTTACTTAATATTATAGTTCATTTCCATGACTTGACACGCTAATATGTTTGATTTTATAGTTACATGAATATTATGTTAAAAGTAACAACTTACTAGTATTTTACATAAATACATATATAGTTAGAAGGTACACTAGGTAATCTGCTTGCACTTTTCTATAAAATTATATTTTTTTTTGGAGTAAATCTACTTCTTTTATTACTTGTGTTGAAAAGGTTATACAAATTTATGAAGAAATGTATCAAGCAACAGCTTGAATTTTGAATCAGACGATTTTAGATCGCAGCATAAGTTGCCAATAAGTTGCTGGCAAGTTGCTACACAAAATTGTTATCTCGTGAAGGCATTAACTTGTCGACAAATGTGGACTCAGTTGCCACAATTCTGTTAGCAACACATACTATGTTGTCGGTAACGTGCCAGCAACAACGCAGACACGTTGCTATCTGGGTAGTTTGTATAACTATTTAATGATTATGTTTTGTTATTGCGCGTTATTTTTTATAAACAAATATTTTTTTATAAGGCCTACGGCCTGCCCATATTTGTAATAAGATTATATTGCCAGTCTCCATAAGTGGAAGGGTCACCGATGAAGTGAGACAGAAAAAAGTTACTTTGTCCGTTGTGCGCAAAGCATGTGAGTTAGCATTCTTACTTTCTTTTATTGAGAGAATTGTCGCGCATACGCTTAGCGAATAAAGTCCTCTGCCAGATAAAGAGAATGATATCGTCTGTACCGTGATGTTTTCGGCCTTTTCCCGACCTAACTAGCAATGTAGTTTTATTACATATATGGGTCTGTCACAAAATGACAGCTGCATGTATGTACATAAGACTGTCTAGACCAATGAGCGTCTAACATAAAGCATGCTATGTTAGACTAGATGCTCATTAGTTTTAGTTACGCATATGCAGTCTTATGTTATGCATATGCAGCTATGTTATTTTGTGTGTGATAGGCTTAACATCAAATCCAGCCACAGATTATATGTTGATGTACAAGGGTCGTAAAAGAAAAAAATGAATTTAAATGATACAAAGAACACAGTTTATTATTAAAACCTGTGTATAATTACTATATAAGAAAGAGATAGTTTACAAATCAAGATATTCCAAAATGTAAATATTGCATACAAGTAATAAATGGCAACAAGTTTGCGAGATAGAAAAAACCAAGGAGAATGAAAGTGACCATTATCCAAGAAGCTCGATATACCAAAGTCATAAATCAACGAAATAGACTTCTAATTGCACCAAAAATTCAATATCAATGAAAGCCGCAAAGAATCAGTAACTGTAGCAAGAGAAAAAAGACATCTGGTGCAATATAATCTTCACGTTTATGTTGTTACGAAAAAACTATCAACGAAACTATGTATCTAAGAATAATGAAATACAACAACTTTAAGGCTAAATGTCAAAAGACTGATCACTAGATGACTGAGGCAACGTTCTCTGGATCGATGAATTAAAATTTAAAATCTTCAGCTTTAAACGACATATTTTTATTCGACATATGCCTAGACTGTATTATACTAATAGTAAAATATAGAAGTGACTTATAGTAATATGAGAATATCTATAAAAGAAGTAAGGCATTCATTTTGTATCAATTGTATTCTCAAGAAAGAAATACAAAGAAATTCACGAAAATCATGCCTTTCTTTCAAATAAGCAATTAATAGATAGGTTTATAATGCAAGTGGATAATAATGTAAAATATATTTTACAGTTTTGTAAAAAGTACTTGGAAGACCGTGAAAGAATTGTACAAAATATTGATTGGACTTTTCAATTCGGTCTTTAACCGACTTTTACCCAACAGTATATTCTGATAGATCATGGCATACTTTCTTTGTAAACTTTTTGAATTTTTGCAATATCTTCAAAATTGAAGAAAATATAGTACACGAAAATGTGCGTGACGTCATAATGTTGTTGCGAAATCTTTTGAAGTTGCCGTCATCAAAGAAACTTTAGAAAGCTATAACTTTCTCAAATTTAGGTTTTTTTTTTAAATTCAAAAAGTATTAAAAATCGGCTTAGATTCTCTACATTAATTATGGATACCGCTTAATAAAAAAATTTTACTTGAGAACCCAATTGACAGATTTAAATGCAATCAAATTTTTGGAAAGACAAAACTATACATAAAAAAGGGTCCAGTTTTTAAAAAAGATTGGAAAATTTATAAAAGATCTGATGTATATCATATATTATAACAGAAACTATATAAAAAAATATGATTAAAAATGTGATTAAAAAAGAAATTATACAAAAATTAATCAAAAGAATATCAAGATTGTGTCAAACGAACATGTCAAATAAAAAAAAGGATTTTTTTGCGAAAAGGAAGTTTAACACACACACACACACACACACACACACACACATAATAATAATCACACATAATAACCAAAACAGTCAAAATTACAAGTTTATAATTTTTTTTTAATAACTTAAACTTAACGGCGCATTTTCTGAGATTTTCTGTGATTTTTGTTGCAATGTAAGTGATTAAATTGATCAATTTACTTTTCTCCTTTATCCTTTTTCTATAATGATATACAGGTTATCTCATTTTAATCTTTCCACGTAATTATCTTTCGTACTATTCGTTTTTCGAAAAAAATATTTTGAATAAAACTTATTCTGTTTCGAAAAGCACATCTTATTATAGACACAGGTCTTGTCTAAATAAAGGTGCCTCTAAGATTTCAAGGTAATCTTTGTTTTTTTAAATAATGGTACAACAAAAATAGGGGTTTTTATATATTTAAAAAAAATACTCCAAAGATTACCTTGAAATCTCAGAGGTACCTTCACATAGGCAAAACTTGTATCTGTAATGAGAAGATGTCCCTCTCGAAACAGAGCAAGTTTTATTTGAAATATTTTTTTGAAAAACAAATGGTTTAGGAGATAATTCGGTTTTAACATGAATTTTTTTTATTAAGCGGTTTGGTAGATCATGGCATACTTTCTTTGTTAACTTTTTGAATTTTTGCAATATCTTCAAAATTGAAAAAAATATAGTACACGAAAGTGTGCTGTGACGTCATACTTTATATAAGAAATGACGTCATACCTTTTGAAGTTGCCGTCATCAAAGAAACTTCAGCAAGCTATAACTTTCTCAAATTTAGGTTTTTTTTAATTCAAAAAGTACTAAAAATCGGCTTAGATTCTCTACATTAATTATGGATACCGCTTAATAAAAAAAAAATGTTAAAACCGAATTGTGTGGAAAGATTAAAATGGGGTATCCTGGTTAAGGAAAGACCAGGGCTATCTGTCTGGACTTTACGCTTTTTTCAAGTTTACTAAAAAACTAATAAAGATATTTGGCTAAACATTTTAATGGTATAACCTTTCAACCTTGCTATTAAAAAAAAAGCAATTGTTAATCTTTTAACATTTTACAGAGATGAATTTCTTAAGTGGTCAAGCGTAGAGAGATGGCCTCATATGCTGGGCTATCTGTCTACATTCGAGGGGCTGTCTGTCCACATAACAATAAACACATTATTTATATTAATTTTTATACTTAATAATATTATTTATTATTAATATTGAAAAAACTGCTTAGTCATTGGAGTCAGCAGTAGTAGGCACTTCGTGTAGATTTTGTAACAGGATTCCTGCGTGGAGCTGACTTCTTTATATACGGTAGTATCAAACTGATTTTGAGCCTGTCACAAAATCAACGTAATGAGTTTTTTTGTTTCCTTTTTTATTCTTTTTTGGATTTAAGGTTTTTGCTTTTTCCTCAACAGTTTTTTTTTGGAGGGTGATGAGGTTAACAGCGCTTAATACTTCGTGGTATTTTTTTTGGCATTTTTGCGTAGGGGTGCTTTTTGAAGAGGGTTGAACTAGGTCAATAGGTAACTCTTTACTAGTGGAGGGTCGCAAGCTTGGTCCTGGTATAGTTACTGGCGGTACTAGTTTGCTGCTGATTAGAAAGAGGTGCCAATTTTGCAAGAGCATGTGATTTGGTATCGTCAATAACCGATTCATTGACACTTTCAACGGGTACTAGATCTGTTTCGCCGATGGGTATAGGCTTATCAGTTACGCTAGCTGGCAAGAAATCTGATTCGTTGAATATTTCTAAATTAAACGGATGGATTCCTGTCTTCTTGAAGCCTGCAACAATGTTTGTTGGTGTAATGGATACTGGAGATACCGGAAATAGCCATTTTGACGATCCCTGGAATATTGTCATATGTCATCATTTTTCCAGGATTATATTTGTGATCCAATTATTACACACGGTATTGTAAGCTTTCTTAAAAGGCCCGTACATAGACACATCTAATGACTACACTTTGTTACTACAGTACGGGGGAAGAAACAACATTATTATGCCGTTTTCACGCGCAAAATTTATTGCTGCAAC